GCGAGGCCTCGCTGGAGCGGCGGCTGGAGAAGTAGGGGGAGATGCCGGAGGAGCGGCGGCTCACGGTGTAGGCCGAGCTGACCGTGCTGGTGGAGCTGTCCCGGCGCTCCTGCAGCTGGCTCAGCATGGTCACTTCGCTGGCCGACAGCTCGGACAGCCGCGGGTTGGGCAGCAGCCCTGCCGGCCCGCCACCCCCACTACCGCTGAAGTTTTCCAGGATGGAGCCTGCGGGAAAGCAGAGGGGTCAGCTCTCCAAGACAAGGGGCGGGTGCTCTGCCTGCCTGGACCATGTTGAGTCAGTCTGCAGAGCCTAGAGCACTAGAATGCGGCCTGGCACACAGTAGGCACTCAAGAGATGATCTTTGCATGAAAGAAGGGAAGGAAGGGACATATTGCTAAGGGGAGATAAGTGGCAGTTGGGAGGCCTGAGTCCCAATCTTAGCTCTACCACTGCCTGCCTGTTTCCAAATCCTCCTTACTCTGGCCATCAGTTTCTCCAGCTGTAGAAAAATGAGAGGAGGGGATGAGTAGCCTAGGAAGGCCCAGGCCACAGTCTCCTTGTACTCTCACAGTCTGTGGATGGATATTTGGTGCCAGTTGGATCCCTTGAAACAGAGTTTAATCAGCAGGCTGCTTATAGGGAGTGCCCTGAGACCCACACCTGTGGAAGGAAGGAAAGGCTGCAGGAGTGAGCAGAGGAGTAGTGAGCCTAGGATGATCTCATAGGGAGGTCAGGACCTCCAATGGCCCTTCAGTACTGCCCCAAGTTGGGCTGAGATGGCTGGTCCTTTATACTCCTGCAGTGATCAGTCACTGGATGTGGGCCACCCTGAGAAGGGGTAACTTTGGGTGAGGCAGCTGACTGCAATCCAGGAGATCCCACAAGGGGCTGAATTCAAGGCCATCTGCCAGTAGTCTCCCCAACAGCTGGGACAACACATCCTCCCTTCAAGGGAGAGCTGTGTGGTACATCACAATGTCCAGCATAATAGGCTGTCAGGCCCTGGAGGGCAGCCTGAGGCCTGAGTGCCTGGTGTCCAGCACAGTGCCAGGCACAGAGTCAGCACTTATGTGCTTGGTGGCGATGCCTTCCATTTCAAAGTCTGGCCAACCTGCCCTGAGGCTGAGCACAGTGCTGCCTCCTCCAAGAAGTCCTCCTGGCTCTTCCCCACTTGGAAGTGCTTTCTCCTTCCTCTGCACAGCTCCAGCCTTAGCTCTGTCTTTGGAGCTACTCAGCTTGTTCTGCAGAAGAGTGTGAATCTGGCAGTACAGGCTTCTTTGGGACTGGGATTATATTGCTCTCCTTCCACGGGCCTTTGTCAAGGGCCCATAGCAGGTGCCTAATAAATGACCGAATAACTGGATGAGGAAGAGGATGATATGAGCATGGTCTGCCTATTTTTAGGTAGTTACAGGGATACAGCCTGGTGTAGGTGAAACAGCGTGGGTTTTGGAGCTACACAGGCTTAGGCTAAGTTTCACTTCTGCCAGATTTGGGTAAGGCACTTTCACCTTTCTGAGCCTCAGTTTCCTTATCTGTGCAATGAGCTGGTAAGATGTGTCCTATTGTGGGCATCCAGTGAGACAGCATATGGTGCTTGGTGGGTGTGAACCAGTTGGTGCTGCCCAGGCCCTCTCCCGCCCCCACTGCAAGCCCCAGGCTCCACTTACCACTTCCCGGGAGGGGAGGCAGCTTGGTGTTCCGGGTGTGTGGAGCTGGCCCGGCCCATGAGCAGGAATCCTTGAGTGACTTGAGCTTCTCCTTCTTGAGCTGCTCGAACCGGTGCATGGCAGTCATGTGTTTGCGCAGCTGCAGGCCACCAGCTGCGGGGGCAGCCAGGGCTGAGGCGTCGGCCCCTGGGGGAGTGTCATCCAGCGCTGTCAGGTCTCCCAGGCTCCCGGGCCCCGTCCCCGGCATCTCCACGCCACTGTCATTGTTGGGGGCACTGCCCAGGGGAGAGGGCTCGCTGCTGCAGGATGACTGGGCACCGGGGCTGGACTGACACAGCTGCAGGGGATGAGGTGAGAAGGCACAGACTCAGAGGGTGTGAGAGCCTCCCTGCTCCTGCATCCATGCCTGCACACACACCACACACTTGTACACCCAGGGGGCAGGAGGTGGGGGTAGAGAAAGGAAGTTGCCTCGGAGGAGCTTGCAAACCATCACTTGTCTGTTTGTAAGAGATGGTGTTAACCTCGGCTTCCCCAACTGTGAGGTGGACTTGAACTGCCTCTGGTGCAGGTTAGTGGATGGATAGAAGGCACCCAGCACGCAGAGGGCACCCCGTAGGCCATGGAAGAAGGCACTTAAGCATTCCAATAACAGCGATGTGCGCACAATGAAGTGAGGAACACCAAAAGCTTGCCGACTTGGTGCTTTCTACTGCGCAGGGCTATCTCAACAGGACAGAGGCAGGTAATTGGAAAGGTTAAGCACCATAGCCATCCCAAAGCAGTCCTCCCTCACCTCTGGGTCGGGGTGGAGTGGGGCCAAGAGTTCATGGCACATGTACACGGTGCAGAACGCCGCAGAACTCAGGCTCCACTCCTATAACCTGGCATCTGAGCCCTGATGAAGCTTACCCTGGATGCAGCATCTCTGGGCTCAGTGCTAGGGTGAATGCCCCCAAATTCTAGTCCCTCTTTGAGAAGCTGCAATGTTCCTCCCTGACAAGTGCAAGCAAGCAGGGACCTCCTAGGTCTTGCCTTTGGCACCATCCACATTCCTCAGTGTAGCCCTCAAGACCCTCCAGAGGCCAGCCCACCTCACCTCTGCAGCCTGGACTCACACCTCCCCTCCATGCTGTCCCTCATGCAGCTTGGTCCCCACTGCTCTCTGGACCTGCCAGCTCCACTCCTGCTGCTGGCCTTTCCCTGTGCTGATGGTCTCACCTGCGGTGCCCTGCTTCTGCCTATCCAAAGCCCGTTCCTGGCCCTTCAGGCCTGGACTGACAGGTCAATCTCCACCTGGGAAGTGGCACTGGACAGGTACCCCAGCCCATCCCCGCTCATGCCAGCCCACCCACACACCCCACCCAGCTCCTCTGCTCACCTCAGTACCGTCTATCCTTAGGGGAGGTACAGTCGGGAAGAAAAGAGGTGGAGACAAAGAACAGGTGGTTAGAACAAAAGGAGCAGAGGCCAGAGGGGCGAGGACGCAGAGACAGGACAGAGGGCTGGGGACTGGCAGCAATACCGGTGCTGGCTGGAAAGGCAGACACTCAAGAGACCCCCCACCATCCCACACACAGACTGATCACATGGGGGGTGGGCATCCCCATTGCCACAGCCCTGCCACATATGCCAGCAGGAGCTGGGTCAGAGGCGGAATGGGACCTGGACAAGGCAGGGTTGATGAGAGGTCCAAGCTGGTGAAGGGAGGAATGCTGAGTTGGAGAGAGGAGGGACATCATAGCACCCTCAGAAGAGGGGACGTAGGGCAGAGCCCACAGCTGTCATCAGGTTCCGGGCCCTGGGCACGGCCGTGCAGTTGCTCTCGTGCCAGCCGGGCCACCAGGCTCTGCTTACCCCGGAGCTCTCGGTCTTGATGGCTTTGATGTGCAGGCAGTCCTCCATGGCCTGGCTGGTGCTGCTGGCCTCGGCACTCTCCTCGGACCCCCGGCCGCCAGGTTCAGCATTGGTCTCATTGTCCCCATTCTCCTTGAGCAGCGGGGCACGGAGGTGCATGTCATTGCGTTGCTTCTTGGTGACATGAGCATCTGGGCCATGGACCGTTTTCACGTGCTTCCGGAGAGAGCTGGGGTCCGTGTACCGCTTGGTGCAGCCAGGGATCTTGCAGATATAGGGTTTCTGGGAAAAGAACGAGGCATGTGTTACGGCTGGGGATATGAGCACAAACTCCGAATGGGTGCACTGCCCATTCTCCTGAAGCCATGCTATGTCCCTTGGCAGAGCCTGGCGGGCACAGTTGGTAGGTGCTCTGTCCCTTTGCAGGTAGTACCCTGCGGATGGAGCCACAGGCCTGCAGGAGCCTCGCCCCAGCCCAGCCTTGTCTGCCTCCTTTTCATGCAGGTAAGTACATGATCAAGGGAGCTCCTGGCACAAGACTGTGAGGACATGGATCAGAAAGACTGTGGTGGGGTGTGGGGTGAGGGAACATACATGCCTTGTGTTATCACAATGCTGCCTCCCCTGTGAATAGAGTACTTGGATTCTGAATATCAGCAGCAAGTGTATGAGCTCAGTATATCCTGCGAGATAGCACTAGCACCCTTGATCTCTCTGATGAGGAAAGATAGGCTCAGGGAGGCAAAGAAACTTGCTCAAAGTCACCAAGTAATAGGATGGAAACTCAGGATTTCTGAACCTCAGTCCTGGGGTTCACACTTACACACACACACAGCCCCCACACATACACGCATGCATACATATACTTACAAACACACATACACACATATACACACACACTCCTCTCCAAGGCTGGCTCTTCTTTGTTGTGACTCCGAGGGGTTCAAATGCCTTTGGGGATTCCTCTAACTTATCACATGCATTGGAGCAATGTCCCTTTAGGGTTCAGACTGCGTCTAAACTTTTAGAAACATTCTCTCCCAAGTCTGCCTGAGTGACAGTATCCTGGGTGACAGTAATTGTATGGTTGGGCTGGGACTGGGAGGTGGGTGTAGTAGGCTCCTGCTTGACTTTCCTCTCTGGGCTCCAGCTACCTGGGGAGACAGAGGCTGTTCTGTGCCCCAAGTGTGGGAGGCCGATGGCCACAGCAGGCCCAGGCAGCACTATTGGCTGAAGCGTGTCACTGCCAGCTGCTCAAGCTGCTGGGGCCTGGGCCTGCCAGCATGTGCTGAGCTCAGACAGTAGCTGCTCCACAACGGGACGCCTGCTTGTGAGTGAATTTGGGGGGATGAAGTAGTGTCTCAAGGTGTTTTCACCGCTGTGGAGGAACCAGCACTCTTGGGCTCCAAACCCATGGGACAACTGGCAAGCTATGTGGCATTGGGGAAAGTCATTTGTTCTCTCTGAGAGTTAGTTTCCTCATTTATAAAACGGGGCAGCAGAACCCACCAAGACCCCTGAGGATAAGGAGCAGACTTATGTCCTGTGACACAGCAGGCACTCGGAGATGAGAGAGGTCACTCCCCCCAACCTCGGCTCCCATGGGCCTCAAGATGGCCTTAGGGGAGGGCACTATTATATTTATTGCAGAGATGAGGAAACTGAGGCACAGAGAGGGTAAGTATGCCATGGGACCTTACGGGGCATCTTCCCTTTCGAAGAGGATGTGGTACAGAGAGGGAGACTGGCCTATCCAGGTCTCTGAGTCCTGGTCTGTGTCTGAGGTTGTGCTGCAGGTTAGTGGTGTGGGAGGGGCACCTGGGCACCCAGACACCTACTGGCCTACACACATCTAGAAGCCAGGGTCAAATGGTCCACGCAGCCCCCGTGTGCGTGCCCGGCATGGTACCTCATTGGAGTGGGTGCGGTTCTGGTGCTTGGCACGGTCCGAGGCGTTGGAGAAGGCCTTGTTGCAGCCCTCGTGCTCACATACGTAGGGCTTCTCCCCGGTGTGGGAGCGCAGGTGCGTCTTCAGGTTCTCCAGGCGAGAGTAGGCCTTCGAGCAGCCCTCGAACTGGAAGGAGGCTGTACTGTCAGTGAGGGCACCCCAGATCCCACAGGGGCCTGACCTCAGGGGGTGGTCCCCACCTCCTTCAAGACCTCGCCTCTGCTCTGCTGCACCCCATCCGTACACCCAGAAGCATGTGTTTTAACAATAGCAGTTACTTTCCTTCCCAGAAAATGTGGAAAGGACTGAAAAGGACAAAAAGGACAATGAAAACGGCTGGCTGCCCAGGGACAGCCACTGTTGACTTCCAGGTAGGTCTCATTCTGATGACTCTGCAGTTCACCCCCACATGTTTTTAAAACCAAAAGTGGCAACCTATCAAGTATTTAGTTACTTATTCCACTCCTTAAAATCAACAGCACATTGTGGGAATCTTCCCATATCATTAAGAACTCTTGGAAAATATTATTTTTAACTGTTTCCCAATGCCATTCTCAATCATTGTTCTATGCATTAAAATGTGCCAAGAATAAAATCCAGAGTCCTTTGAGTCTTCGAGTGAGCCTCACCACCCTCACCCCCGCGCCCACCGTGCTGCCTCCTTCCTCGCTTTACACCCACTGGTTCCTCTGGCTGGAAGCTTCCCCCACCCCCACCCAACCACCCCGACCCCTCTCAGTTTTTAGGTCATCTCCTCTGAGAGCATTTTTCTGATATTCTTAATCACAACACTCTACCCTTTCTCCTCTGTACCCCTTGACACAATTATTATCTTAATCATTTTGTTATTTGGCCTTCCTAGTAAGATACAAGCTCCAGAAAGCAGGGACCTTCTAGATCTGTTCATTGTGGTCTTCCTACTATTTAGTGCCTGATGAAAAGGACGCACTCAAGAAATATTTTTGGAAAGGAAGGAAGAAAGAAAGAGAGAACACGAGAGAGAGAGGCAGGGAGGGAAGGAGAAAAGGAGGGAAGAAGGAGAGATCGCTGCAAGAGGCTCTGCATGTATTCTAAAGATAAGGCAGGGACCCAACCTCTCTCTTTTGCATGTGGTTATGCTCAACACCATTAGTCACTAGGGAAATGCTAATGAAAACCACAATAAAATACCTCTTTATACCCACTTGGATGATTAGAGTCAAAAGACAGGTAACAAGAAGTGTTGGGGAGGATATGGAAAAATCGGAACCCCCATTCATTGCTGGTGGGTATGTAAAATGGTACAGCCACTTTGGAAAAAATTATCATGTGACTTAGCAATACCACTCCTAGTTATGCATACCCAAGAGAATTGAAAGCGTATGTCCACACAAAAACATGAACGTGAATGTTCATAGCAGCATTATTCATAATAGCCAAAAAGTAAAAACAACACAAATATCCATCAACTGATGAATGGATAAACAAAACACCCTCCATCCATACAATGGAATATTATGTAGCCATAAAAAGTAATAAAGTGCTGATTCAGGCTATAACATGAAATAACCTTGAAAACATTAATTGAAAGCAGCCAGACACAAAGGTTATATGTTGTATGACTTCACTTTCATGAAATTTCCAGAACAGGCAAATTCATAGAGACAGAAAGCAGATTAGGGGTTGTCCAGGGCTGGGGGAAGGAAAGAATTGGGAGTGACTGCTAGTGGGTTTGAGGTTTTTTTGGGGGGTGATAAAAATATTCTGAAATTAACTAGTAGTGAGGTTTGTACAACTTTGTGAATATACTAAAAACCACTGAATTATACATTTTTTAAAAAGGGTAAACTTTATACCTCAATTTAAAAAAACTAACTTGCCAACAAAGGTAGTATATTTTACTAGATCCTGGACACCATTGATTTTAGGACAGCCTGAGTTCAGAGGTATTAAAACAAGAACTAAATGTGTGTCTCAGAATCTATGAGATACAGTGATTCACAAAGAGGAGTTCCCAGATGTCTAAGCCGCAGCCACATGAATGGACTGGACAACCTCTCCTTTTGAGGGGGAGCAATTTCTGTGTTAAAAAAAAGTCTCACCAATTATAGACACGAATCCATAAGGGAGGTCGTATGAAATGTCTAATCTTTGAGCTCACTTTAAAAAAAAAACAACCTGGGCCGGCCCGTGGCTCACTCGGTAGAGTGCGGTGCTGATAACACCAAGGCCCCGGGTTCGGATCCCATATAGGGATGGCCGGTTCGCTCACTGGCTGGGCGTGGTGCTGACAACACCAAGTCAAGGGTTGGGATCCCCTTACCGGTCATCTTTTTAAAAAAAAAAAAAGAAAGTTTCCTTGTAAAACCGAGAAAGAAACAAAGATGCCAGCTCTTAGTTTCTCCTCAACACTGTAAAGTCTTAGAACAGGAAGACAAGAAAAAAGGACAAAGTTTTAAGACCTGAAGAGAGAAAAACTCTTCTTAATCATAAACACAATAATTATCTAAATAGAAAAACCAAAAAAACTCTTCAAAATATTAGTGCTAATAACAAAATTCAGAAAGGTTGCTGGATAGAAGATCAATAGCTAAAAACTTTATATGTAATAATAACAAACTACATTGCTCAAGCTGTGAGTCACCAATGATGCTTTTCTCCCTGCACGGTGCCAGCCCCTCTGCCCAGTGTCACTCAGCCAAGCACACTGTAGGGGTACAGCTGTGCCTTGGGCTCATAGTTGCACATAAGCAACCACAGAGACACTGGCACTCTCTCGCCATGGTCACCAAGATGCTCACACCCAGAGAGCAAGCTCACCAAGGTCTGGGACAGCAGCAGGCGAAGGGGCCTCAAGGACTCAGGATAAGCAAGGGCCAGGGTGGGCACAGACACGAAGACTGTTGGCAGGACCTGTGCCAGTGCAGCTATGTGGCCCATTCCACCCAGGTTGGCCTGCAGTCAGCCATGTCCACACGTGATCCCACTTGCCTGGCCAACAAACCGGCCCTAAGGACACCACTGGCAGGGGCACTCACCGTGCACTTGTGGGGCTTCTCGCCTGTGTGCCGCCGCATGTGCACCACCAGCATGTACTGCGCCTTGAAGGGTTTCTGCTCCCGCGTGCAGGCCTGCCAGCGGCACACGAACTCCTTCTTCTCCCCGTGGATGTGCTCGTTGTTGATGTGCTGCCAGGACCGACAGCCGGAGGAGGGTGAGCTCAGCTGCCCGCCCCACAGGGCCACCTGGGGAGTGCAGACCACCCCCCCCCTGGGACCCCCAGCACATACTATGTGAAGACTGCTACCCCAGAGAGCCTGCCTAGTATATGCAGACCACCCACTGCCCCAGGACCCCCTGTCTACTGTGTGCAGGCTGCCCACCCCTCTGGGGCCCCCAACCTACTATGTGCAGACGACCCCACAGACCACTACCTTCTGGCAGTTGACCATCCACTCCACTGCATCCCCCATTAGATACAGACCACTCACCCACAGGACCTCGGCTTCCTATGAGCCTGAGTCCCCACCCCACTGCCCCCTCCCTCCTCTTATGTGCAGACCACTCTCCTCACTGCCCATTCCACCTGCTATGTGCAGCTCTCTAACCCAGCAAGACCAGCTCTACATGCCAGGCCACGCCTCCTCATGAATTACCATCAGTCAGCACTAAATGAAGATCTAGTGTGTGCTACTTGTCTTGTCTGCATGTTCCAGTTAGTCATCAGAGTGACCATCTGTGATGGTCAAAGGCATTCCGCTCACCTCAGGGTGGGCTCTGGGATCTGGTAGGTACGGAATTGGTGGCTATGATGATGCTCCCAGGCTGCAAACACTAGGCACTAATTAACTGCAGCCAGGCAGACGTACACATGATGGGTGCACGAGAAGCTCCTCCCAAGCTTGCCCCTATTGTTTCAGAGATTTTCAAATAAAATTTATTGTAATGGAAAAATAATGCATTCTCATCTCTATTTTTGGCATTGACCCATGAGATGATGGCTTTGTCCCCTTTTCACCGAGGCTCAGACAGTTTAGTGGCCTGCACAGGGCCCTGGCAGTTAAACTGTGGGTGGAGCCAGGTTCTAACCCTAATGGTGGGCTCTGGGCTCTGGGCACTGTGCAAGGCTGACCCTGAGACAAAATGGCCCAGGTGAGCAATGCTGGACTGCCACGGACAGCACAGCTGACTCCGTGGCATCAGAGAGGAAGCCCTGCTCCTCAGGGCAAGCTGAGAAGGGCACGGGCAAGAAGCCTTCCCTGGGAGAGTGGTCCCCAGGCTCATCCCCAGGCAGCACTGTCCCGGGCCAGGCACATGGGGTGAACACACACCTTCAGGCCTCAGCCCTGGGTTTGTCACTGTGTGCTCTCCCTAGAGTGGCTCCTACCTTTGAACTTGGGATGTGTGGGCATGTGCGTGGAGGCCCTTTAAGTCCGCTTTAAGTCCTTAATCTTTTGGGTTGCTTACTTAACTAAGGAGTGGGAAGAGGTGGTATGAGTCACTTACAGACTAGAGTGGAAAGCATATAGACATCCTGCTTCCTCTCCCACGGGGTTTCTCTTGAAAGGGCTCCATCCAGATCCCATCCTTCCCTTCCATCTCCCTTAGTTCAAGGTCATGTCGTGCCTCTACCTTGGATCAGGGTGGGCTTGATTCCACCAGGGAGGTGGTGAGGGTGAGACTCAAGTCTTAGAGGCTTCTCGTTCCCTCTCCTTTCTTCTCTGTTCTCATTCCCCTCTCCCAGCCTTCGTTCCTCCCACCCGCTCCTCCCACAACCTCTAGACCCGAATTGTCTAGTGCAGCAGGCACTTGCCACGTGTGGCTCTTGAACACTTGCAATGTGGCTGGTCTGAACTGGGATGGGCTGTAAGTGCAAACTACACACTGGTTTCAAAAACTTAGAATGGAAAATTTTTAAAAAACGATGTATAATATCTCAATAATTTTGTTTTATATTGATTATGTGCTGAAATGATAATATTTCAGATATATATATATATATATATATATATATATATATTTTCTTTTGATGTAGGTGTTTATTGCTATAAACTTTCCTTTTAGAATTGCTTTCACTGCATTTTCTAAGTTTTGGTAGACTGTGTTTCCATGTTTATTTGACTCAGGTTATATTTTATTTCCCTTTGACTTCTTCTTTGACCCATTAGTTGTTCGGCTGCATCTTGTTTTAATTTCCATATATTTATGAATTTTCTGATTTTTCTACTGCTGTTGATTTTTAGTTCCATTCCATTTTGGCCAAGGATACTTGATGTTATTTTAACCTTTCTAAATTTGTTAAGAGTTATTATGTTTCCTAGCACATGATCTATTCTGAGTGCACTGAAAAATAATGTGTATTCTGCTACCGTTGTATGGAATGCTTTGTACATGTGTGTTAGTTCAATTACATCTATAATGTTGTTCAGGCCCAATGTTTCCATATAAATTTTCTGTCTGGGTGCACTCTTTATTGTTGAATGTGGGGTTTTGAAATTTCCTTTTATTATGTTTCTGTATATTTTCCCTTTAGTTTTGTTAATATTTCCTTTATATATTTAGGTTCTGTGATGTTAGGTACATGTATATCTAAAGTTGTTATAGTCTTTTGATGAATTGGTCCTTTATCTATATATAATGACCTTCTTTGTTTCTAATGACAATT